GGTCTCCACATGTCCTTCGCTTCTTTCCATGATTCGTGACGGTACAGGGAAGCACGTGGGTTCTAGGCCTTTGAGGATGCTTGCAGTGCTTGAATATTTCTAGTATCATCTGAACCCACAGGGTAGATGACGGAAGATTCTACACTACACTGAGCTTCTTCGAATGATTGTCATCTCTCTTCCATTACCCAAAGAATGTGGCAATACCTGTAAAGTGCTGGGATATACATTCAGGGGCTATGAGATGGTATTTTCAATTAGGGGAATTTAATCAGGGCTATGGTGATCATGGTATGGGGGCAAGATAGCTGAAAATTGAAGAGAATCGTGGGAAGTGCACCGAGCAGGTCCTCCAGCTCGAGGCAATCTGTATGCCATGCCCTGCCCAGCCAGGTGCTGTGGATGTAGATTCCCTGTAAATGCGCCTGCCTGGGCAGAATCAGGCTCACAAGAAGATCACTTGTGGTGGCGTCTGTACCAGTGACATGCATGGAGTTGCAGAGGTCCTTGAGATGCCTGCCTTGATGGCGTAATGACCGTGGAGTCACCTGAGCCTCCAGCATCCTCGGAAAGATGGTTGATATTCTCTAGGTGTTGGATATATCCTGAGTGCAGTCATCTGGGCATGTTGCTGAGAGAGGTCATAGCTGCTTCTCAGAGAAAGCAGGGGTTGGGTAAATCCTCCACTGAGAGCATTGCTGGGTGTAGTGCCCTGCAGATAGGAGCTGATCACTTCTATTTCATGTCATTAGTACCTGTTTCAGTAGATAATGCTCTACAGGAAACACATGTGCTGACCTTTGTATGTGGGATAATGTTGGGGTATCAGGTGTGTTTGTTCCTGCTGCTGAAGAGCCATGAAGACTCTGGCATTTCTCTGGTCTCAGGAACCTTCAGTGTGATTTCATTAGTCTCTTGCTCACAGTGTGAACACCTACATTAGAGAAAATAAAGAGTCTTTTCAGTAGAGTAAGAGAGGACTCCACCTATCTTGTCCTCTGGTGCAACTCCTCATCATTCCCGTAAGACATAGAGCAGAAGAGCACGACTCCATTGAGTGATTGATGTGTTGTGATAAAGCATCTGCCTGGAATGCAGGAGACCCCGGTTTGATCCCTGAGTTGGGAAGATCCCCTGGAGAAGGAAATGGCAACCCACTCCAGTACTCTTGCCTGAAGAATCCCATGGAGGGAGGAGCCTGGGAAGCTACAGTCCATGGGGTCACAAAGAGTCGGACATGACTGAGCGACTTCACCTCACTTCCTTGAGCTGCCTGCCTTGATGTCATAATGACCCTGGAGTCATCTGTGCCTCTAGCATCCTTGGCAGATGTCAGTGGTCCTCTCCTCACAATGTGAGCCCCAAGAGTTTCCAGAGGATAAGAGGATACATATGATGAGAATATAGAAATACGACATGCTTTTCTTTCTCTGATCCTCCTACATCTGAAGTAAGTATAAAGAGGATCTAAAGGGACAGTCCCTGAGGATAGAGAAAGGGTTTACAAAGTGTGTGGATATTTCCGGGGTATCTGGATATACCTTGTAAGGAGCCATCAGGATGTGGAAGCAAGAGAGATGGAAGCTACATGGAAGAGGGTAATGGGGACTGGGTTGTGCCTATACTTTAAAGATTTCTTGTGTGTACTGCCCTATACATACACTTTGACAATGTATGAACAGTGCTTGTCTGCATGAGCAAGACTCTCCAAGCATGTTTTAGTGGTGTTATTTATGTCAGGTCCAGTTTGATTGTGGAGCTTTAATTGTCCTTAGTTCACTCCAGAAAGTTATGAGTATGTTTAAAAACAGCTAAGTTTCTGAAATCTTCAGTATGACTTAGGGGTTCTATTTCTAAAACTTGAAAAGGAACTGTTAGAAAAGATAAGGTTAATTCCTTTGAAATGAAGGGAAAACTAGAACACCTATTTCTCTCTGGGTCCTCATTCATCTGAGTGTGTACAGTAAGCAGACATAGTGGGGACTGTCTAGTGAGGGAGTGATGCATGTTGGAGGGCAGTGGGTCACCATTTTCACGTTCTATACATAAATCTTGATTGATGTCCAAGGAAGTGGTAGAAATAATCAGGAATGTTTCATTTGAAAATGTGAAGGGGACAAGCAGGGCCTCCAGCAAAAGGAAATGCATTGTGCAGTGCTCCGCCTAGAAAAATGCTGTTGACTTCATCTAACAGTAAACAGAGCCTTCCTGGGTAGAGTAGTGCAACTGGTTCATCATTATTGGTGGCCTTTTTACAGGGGTGGGTGTGAGGCTCCAGATGATAGTCCTCCAAGATGCCAGGAAGGCCTTGGAAGCCATAGAGATGTCTAACATATATTGATTATGACCTCAGTAGGCCATAATCTGAAAATGTTCCCATGTGTAGACAATAGAAAGATAAATGCTAATTGAATCACATTCATCTTGCTTGCTAATCATCTCCCTTATGCTCACACATTTCTTCAGATACCTATAGACCAGCTGAAGAGATTCTCCAGCAGAAGAGATTATAAAGAAGAAGAGATGCAAATTGGATGACAGTGTGTCCAAGTTTTAAAGGGAAATTGAAATATCTTTGAAATATTTGGAAATATATTTTGAAATATCTTGGAAATTGAAATATCAGGATATGGTGAGCAAAGGTATGTGTGGGTGTGAGGGTCAATGGGCAATCCTCCACCTGGAAACCCTGCTGTGTTCGGTGCCATTCCCAGACAGGTGCAGTTCATGTAGAAGCAGTATGCTGTGCCACAGTTGGGTAGAGCGAGGCTCACAGGAACATCATTTGTGGTGTCTTCCGGACCAGTGACGTGAATGGCTTTGCAGGTTTCCCTGAGTTGCCTGCCTTTATATCATAATGAACCAAGGAGTCATCTGTGGCTCAGGCATCCTCAGGATGGTTTCATTGGTCCTATACACTTAATGTGAAAACAAAGATTATTCAGAAGGCAAGGTGATTCTTAAGAGGGGAAGAGAGAAATACTAGAGGTTTTCTCTCTCTTTCTAGGTTTTCATACATCTCAAAAAGACATAGTGAAGTGGATGGTGTGTATATAGTGAAGGAGAGATTCAGGTTAAAGTCTGAATCAAGTGCATGTTCTCTAGGCATCTGCATATATCTTCTGTGCAGCCATCAGGATGCAATGCAGAGATCATAGGTGCTTCTAGGAAAGCCCAGGATCTTGGGTTGATCAATCAGTGAGAGCACTGTTGTGTGAAAATTCCCTACCCAGATAGGTATCAACCAAGTATACCTCGTGTAATTAGTATATGTCCGGGTAGAGTAAGGCTCACAAGGAAAATGATTTGTGGTTGACCTTGGAGCATTTCCAGTGTTGGAGCTGCCTATGTCCTTGGTTACTTGCCATGATATCATGAGGATCCAGGAAGCCATGTGGATTCTAGGCATTTTTAGGATCCTTCCAGTGCTTGAATATTTCTACATCATCTGCATCTACAGGTTAGAATACTGAAAAAAAAAAACTGCAAGACAGTTATATTCTTTCAATATCCCTCACCTCTGTGCAGATACAGATAGAAGGTGACAAGATCCTCAAAGAGGTGGGATGCAGGTTTTATGGTAGTGGGACATTTTTTTTCAATATCTGGAGCATCTTGTGTGCAGTGATCAAGGTGTGGTGGGAAGAGAGAAGAAAATTGAAGAGGAGTGTGGGAAGTGCTCTAATTTTGATGTCCACCTCGAGGCCACACTGTTCGATGTGCCCTGCCCAGCCAGGTGCTGTTGACGTAGGCTCCCTGTGAATGCACCTGCCTGGTCAGAGTAAGGCTCACAAGAGCATCATTTGTGGTGGCCTCTGCACCAGTGATGTGGGTGGAATTGCAGCTGTCCTTGAGCATCTGCCTTGATGTCATAATGACCATGGAGTCATCTGTGCCTCTAGCATCCTCGGGCAGATTTCAGTGGTCCTCTTCTCACAATGTGAGTGCCACTGAGAGTCCTTCTGGGTAGATTGCCATATAGGCAGTAGCTGGTCATTTCTGTTTCATGTCACTAGTGCATGTTTCAGTCCATAGTGCTCAACAGGAAACACGTGTGCTGACCTTTGTATGTGGGATAATGGTGGAGATTCAGGTGTGTTTGTTCCTGCTGCTGAAGAGCCATGAAGACACTGGCATTCCCCCAGTCTCAGGAACTTCCAGTGTGATTTTATTAGTCTCTTGCTCACAGTGTGAACACCTACATTAGAGAAGATAAAGAGTCTTGAGAGTAGAGTAAGAGAGTAGAGTAAGAGAGAACTCCACCTATCTTGTCCTCTGGCGCTGCTTCTCATCTCTCCAGTAAGACATAGAGCAGAAGAGCAGGACTCTATTGAGTAATGGATGTGTTGTGTGGCCAGTGAATGCATGTGTCTCAGTTAAGGGAAATTCTTGAAATCATTCAATAGGATGTGGTAGGAAGAGAGGTGAACATGACATTTGGAAGTGTGTGAAGTACAGGGTTGGTCCTCCTACCTGAATCCACCCTGCATGCAGTGTCCTGCTCAGCAAGGTACTGAGCACTTAAAGTTGGTGTGAATTGTGTCTTTTGGGGTAGAGTAAGGCTCACAAGAATATCAATGGTGGTTGACTGTAGGAGAGTTCTAGTGGTGGAGCTGATGTGTCCCTCGTGTGCTTGCCATGATGTCATGAGATTCTTGGGAGCCACATGGATCCCTGAATTTTGAGGATATCTTTAGTACTGAAATATTTCCAGTAGCTTGAGTACTTAATGGTTAGAAAATGGGAACACATTTCCTATCAGAGAAAGTACTAAAGGGAGTAAGCTTTAACTCATGGTTCGTCATCCTTGTGCAGATAAACATAGAACAAGTGACGAGACCCCAAGAGAGATGAGAACATGTTGGTGGGCTATGGGTCAATCTTTTCTATGTCCATAGCTAAATGTTGGGTGTAGTCATCACTTAAAGAATCTGGAAACAAAGCCTTCCTGGGTAGAGTAATGTGCAACTGGATCATCATGACTGGTGGCCTTGGACTATGGATAGGTGTGTGGCTCCAGGTGATATTATTACAAGGTAACAGGCAAGCCCTGGTATCCACAGAGCTGTCAAACATACCTTGACTATGATCTCAGTATTCCAGATCTGAAAATGTGACCATGTATATAATGTAGAGAATGGAAAGGTAAATCCTACTAGAATCACATTCACCTTGCTTGCTGATCACTTACATATTTCTCCAGATACCTGGAGACCAGCTAAAGAAATTCTCAATGAGAAGTGATGCACAATGGATGAGAGTATGTCCATGTTTAAAGGGAAATCAATAAATCTTTATTGTAGCAACAGGATGTGATGAGCAAAGGTATGGGCAGGTGTGAGGGTCAATGGGCAATCTTCCACCTGGAAGTCCTTCTGTGTGCAGTGCCCTGACCAGACAGGTGCAGTTCACATTGAATTGGTGTACTGTGCCACAGCTGGGTAGAGTAAGGCTCACAAGAACATCATTTGTGTTGTATTTTGGACCAGTGATGTGGAAGGGTTTGCAGGTTTCACTGAGCTGCCTGCCCTTATATCATAATTACCTCAGGAGTCATCTGTGACTCAGGCATCCTAGGATGATTTCATTTGTCCTATCCACACCATGTGAAAACAAAGATTTCTCAGAAGGCTAGATGATTCCTAAGAGGAGAAGAGAGAAATACTGGAGGTTTTTTCCTCTCTGCCTCTCAGTTTTCATACATCTGATAGTGAAGTAGATAGTGAATATCTAGTGAAAGAGAGATTCAGGTTACAACCAGTGGGTGGATATTCCCTAGGGGTCTGGATATATCTTGCATGCAGTCATCAGTATGCCATGCAGAGACATCATAGCTTCTTCTAAGACAGACCAGCATGTTGGCTTGATGGATCAGAGACAGCCCTGCTGTGTGCAATTTCCTACCTAGACAGGGGCTGTCCTTGTAGATCTCATGTAATCAGTATATGTCTGGGTAGAATAAGACTCACAAGGAACATGATTTGTGGTTGACCTTGGAGCAGTTCAAGTGTTAGAGCTGCATATGTCCTTGGCTACTTGCCGTGATGTCTTGAGGGTGCAGGGAACCACATCAATTCTAGGCCTTTGAGGATGCTTCTAGTGTTAGAATATTTCTAATATCTGTACCTACAATTTAGACAAGGGAAGGATCTGCAAGAGAGTGAGCTTCTTCCAATGTATCTCATATCTGTTCAGGTACACATAGAACGTGACAAAATCCTTAAAGAGGTGGGACTCAAATTTGAGGGCAGTGGAACAACTTTTCCCACATCTAGATCTGGATGTGGTGATCAAGATATGGTCAGAAGAGAAGAAAATTGAAGAAGAGTGTTGGAGGTGCATTAAGAAGGTCCTCCACTCCGATGCCACACTATGTGCCATGCCCTGCCCAGCCAGGTGATAAAGCATCTGCCTGGAATGCAGGAGACCCCGGTTTGATCCCTGAGTTGGGAAGATCCCCTGGAGAAGGAAATGGCAACCCACTCCAGTACTCTTGCCTGAAGAATCCCATGGAGGGAGGAGCCTGGGAAGCTACAGTCCATGGGGTCACAAAGAGTCGGACATGACTGAGCGACTTCACCTCACTTCCTTGAGCTGCCTGCCTTGATGTCATAATGACCCTGGAGTCATCTGTGCCTCTAGCATCCTTGGCAGATGTCAGTGGTCCTCTCCTCACAATGTGAGCCCCAAGAGTTTCCAGAGGATAAGAGGATACATATGATGAGAATATAGAAATACGACATGCTTTTCTTTCTCTGATCCTCCTACATCTGAAGTAAGTATAAAGAGGATCTAAAGGGACAGTCCCTGAGGATAGAGAAAGGGTTTACAAAGTGTGTGGATATTTCCGGGGTATCTGGATATACCTTGTAAGGAGCCATCAGGATGTGGAAGCAAGAGAGATGGAAGCTACATGGAAGAGGGTAATGGGGACTGGGTTGTGCCTATACTTTAAAGATTTCTTGTGTGTACTGCCCTATACATACACTTTGACAATGTATGAACAGTGCTTGTCTGCATGAGCAAGACTCTCCAAGCATGTTTTAGTGGTGTTATTTATGTCAGGTCCAGTTTGATTGTGGAGCTTTAATTGTCCTTAGTTCACTCCAGAAAGTTATGAGTATGTTTAAAAACAGCTAAGTTTCTGAAATCTTCAGTATGACTTAGGGGTTCTATTTCTAAAACTTGAAAAGGAACTGTTAGAAAAGATAAGGTTAATTCCTTTGAAATGAAGGGAAAACTAGAACACCTATTTCTCTCTGGGTCCTCATTCATCTGAGTGTGTACAGTAAGCAGACATAGTGGGGACTGTCTAGTGAGGGAGTGATGCATGTTGGAGGGCAGTGGGTCACCATTTTCACGTTCTATACATAAATCTTGATTGATGTCCAAGGAAGTGGTAGAAATAATCAGGAATGTTTCATTTGAAAATGTGAAGGGGACAAGCAGGGCCTCCAGCAAAAGGAAATGCATTGTGCAGTGCTCCGCCTAGAAAAATGCTGTTGACTTCATCTAACAGTAAACAGAGCCTTCCTGGGTAGAGTAGTGCAACTGGTTCATCATTATTGGTGGCCTTTTTACAGGGGTGGGTGTGAGGCTCCAGATGATAGTCCTCCAAGATGCCAGGAAGGCCTTGGAAGCCATAGAGATGTCTAACATATATTGATTATGACCTCAGTAGGCCATAATCTGAAAATGTTCCCATGTGTAGACAATAGAAAGATAAATGCTAATTGAATCACATTCATCTTGCTTGCTAATCATCTCCCTTATGCTCACACATTTCTTCAGATACCTATAGACCAGCTGAAGAGATTCTCCAGCAGAAGAGATTATAAAGAAGAAGAGATGCAAATTGGATGACAGTGTGTCCAAGTTTTAAAGGGAAATTGAAATATCTTTGAAATATTTGGAAATATATTTTGAAATATCTTGGAAATTGAAATATCAGGATATGGTGAGCAAAGGTATGTGTGGGTGTGAGGGTCAATGGGCAATCCTCCACCTGGAAACCCTGCTGTGTTCGGTGCCATTCCCAGACAGGTGCAGTTCATGTAGAAGCAGTATGCTGTGCCACAGTTGGGTAGAGCGAGGCTCACAGGAACATCATTTGTGGTGTCTTCCGGACCAGTGACGTGAATGGCTTTGCAGGTTTCCCTGAGTTGCCTGCCTTTATATCATAATGAACCAAGGAGTCATCTGTGGCTCAGGCATCCTCAGGATGGTTTCATTGGTCCTATACACTTAATGTGAAAACAAAGATTATTCAGAAGGCAAGGTGATTCTTAAGAGGGGAAGAGAGAAATACTAGAGGTTTTCTCTCTCTTTCTAGGTTTTCATACATCTCAAAAAGACATAGTGAAGTGGATGGTGTGTATATAGTGAAGGAGAGATTCAGGTTAAAGTCTGAATCAAGTGCATGTTCTCTAGGCATCTGCATATATCTTCTGTGCAGCCATCAGGATGCAATGCAGAGATCATAGGTGCTTCTAGGAAAGCCCAGGATCTTGGGTTGATCAATCAGTGAGAGCACTGTTGTGTGAAAATTCCCTACCCAGATAGGTATCAACCAAGTATACCTCGTGTAATTAGTATATGTCCGGGTAGAGTAAGGCTCACAAGGAAAATGATTTGTGGTTGACCTTGGAGCATTTCCAGTGTTGGAGCTGCCTATGTCCTTGGTTACTTGCCATGATATCATGAGGATCCAGGAAGCCATGTGGATTCTAGGCATTTTTAGGATCCTTCCAGTGCTTGAATATTTCTACATCATCTGCATCTACAGGTTAGAATACTGAAAAAAAAAAACTGCAAGACAGTTATATTCTTTCAATATCCCTCACCTCTGTGCAGATACAGATAGAAGGTGACAAGATCCTCAAAGAGGTGGGATGCAGGTTTTATGGTAGTGGGACATTTTTTTTCAATATCTGGAGCATCTTGTGTGCAGTGATCAAGGTGTGGTGGGAAGAGAGAAGAAAATTGAAGAGGAGTGTGGGAAGTGCTCTAATTTTGATGTCCACCTCGAGGCCACACTGTTCGATGTGCCCTGCCCAGCCAGGTGCTGTTGACGTAGGCTCCCTGTGAATGCACCTGCCTGGTCAGAGTAAGGCTCACAAGAGCATCATTTGTGGTGGCCTCTGCACCAGTGATGTGGGTGGAATTGCAGCTGTCCTTGAGCATCTGCCTTGATGTCATAATGACCATGGAGTCATCTGTGCCTCTAGCATCCTCGGGCAGATTTCAGTGGTCCTCTTCTCACAATGTGAGTGCCACTGAGAGTCCTTCTGGGTAGATTGCCATATAGGCAGTAGCTGGTCATTTCTGTTTCATGTCACTAGTGCATGTTTCAGTCCATAGTGCTCAACAGGAAACACGTGTGCTGACCTTTGTATGTGGGATAATGGTGGAGATTCAGGTGTGTTTGTTCCTGCTGCTGAAGAGCCATGAAGACACTGGCATTCCCCCAGTCTCAGGAACTTCCAGTGTGATTTTATTAGTCTCTTGCTCACAGTGTGAACACCTACATTAGAGAAGATAAAGAGTCTTGAGAGTAGAGTAAGAGAGTAGAGTAAGAGAGAACTCCACCTATCTTGTCCTCTGGCGCTGCTTCTCATCTCTCCAGTAAGACATAGAGCAGAAGAGCAGGACTCTATTGAGTAATGGATGTGTTGTGTGGCCAGTGAATGCATGTGTCTCAGTTAAGGGAAATTCTTGAAATCATTCAATAGGATGTGGTAGGAAGAGAGGTGAACATGACATTTGGAAGTGTGTGAAGTACAGGGTTGGTCCTCCTACCTGAATCCACACCCTGCCCAGACAAGTACTGATCACTTAAAGTTGGTGTTAATAGTATCTGTTTGGGTAGAGTAAGGTTCACAAGAAACATCAATGGTGGTTCACCTTAGGAGAGTTCTAGTGGTGGAGCTGATGTGTCCCTCATATGCTTGCCATGATATCATGAGATTCCAGGAGACACATAGATCCCTGCATTTTGAGGAGCCTTCAAATACTGAAATATTCCCAATAGCATGAACACCTACAAGTTAGAAACTCAAAACACACATCCTATGAGTAAAAGAACTAAAGGGAATAAGCTTTTACCCATGGTTCCTCATCCTTGTGCAGATACAGATAGAACAAGTGACAAGACCCTGAGAGAGATGAAAAACATGTTGTTGGACTGTGGCTCAACTTTTCTAGGTCCATAGCTAAATGTTGGGTGTAGTCATCACTTAAAGAAGTGCAAATAGAGCATTCCTTGGTAGAATAATGTGCAACTGCATCATCATGACTGGTTGCCTTGGATGATGGATGGGTGTGGGGCTCCAGCTGATATTATTCCAAGATATCAGGGAGCCCCTGGAAGCCACAGAGTTGTCAAACAAACCTCGATTATGATCTCAGTAGTCCTGTTCTAAAAATGTGACCACATATAATGTGGAGAATGCAAACGTAGATGCTACTAGAATCACATTCACCTTACTTGCTGATCATTTGTCCCACGTTCACATATTTCTCCAGATACTTGTAAACCAGCTGAAGAGATTCTCAAGGAGAAGAGATGCAAGTGGGATGACAGTCTGTCCATGTTTTAAAAGGAAATTGGTAAATCTTTGCTGTAGCATCAGGATATAATGAGCAAAGGTATATGTGGGTGTGAGGGTGAGAGGGCAGTCCTCCACCCTTTATGTCATAACGACCCATGGAGTAATTTGTGTCTCAGGCATACTCAGGATGATTTCATTTTTCTGTCCTCACAATGTGAACACAAAGATTTTTCAGAAGGCAAAATGATTCCTAAGAGAAGATAGGAATACCAGAGGTTATCTCTCTTTCTCTCCCTCTCACTCACTGTCTTGGTTTTTGTACATCTCAAGAAGGCATAGAGAGGTGGACTGTGGATATCTCATGAAGGAGAGATCCAGGTTACAATAAGTGGGTCGATATCCTCTGGGGATCTGGTTATATCTTGAGTGCAGCTTGTAAGATGCAATGGAGTGAGAGATCATAGGTACTTCTATGGCAACCCAGAGTCTTGGCTTGATCAATTGATAAGAGCCCTGCTGTGTACAATATCCTGCATAGAGAGGTCCTGATCATATAGACATCATGTAATCAGTATCTGCCTGGATAGAATAAAGCTCAAAATGAATGAGATTTGTGGTTTACCTTGGAGTAGTTCTAGTGCTGGAGCTGCATGTGTCCTTGGGATTCTTGCCATGGTGTCTTGAGGGCCCAGGGGAACCTCCTGCATTCTAGGCATTTTGTGGATGCTTCCAGTCCTTGAATATTCCTGAGAGCATCAGCACCTACAACTTAGACAATGGAAGTGCAGTTCCTATTAGGAAACTAAGTAAAGGGAGCTTTTACCATGGTACCTCATCCTGGTGCAGATACAAGGAGAACAGGTGAAGAGATCCTGAGAGTGGTGTGTGATCCATGTTTGAGCATACTGAGTCAAGTATTTCTAGGTCCATAGCTAAATCTTGGGTGCAGTGATCAAGGTATGGTGCTAGTAGGGAGAGAAATTTCCCTGCAGTGTAGAATGTGGTGCCTAAGGAGGTTTTCTACCGTGAGATCATGGTGTGGTACAGTGCCTTGCCCAGATTGACAATGTTAACGTAAACTAGATGTACATAGCACCTTTCTGGGTTGTGTAATGTGCAACATGACTATGACTTGTTGTGGCATCTGAATCAGTCCTGGGTATGGGGCTGCTAGTGACTCTGAGCTGTCTTCCATAAATTCAGCATGGCTGTAGTAGCATACATAGGTATCTGTGATTTCTGTGGCCCGTTCTGAAATATGGTGTACATAGGTGCACACAGAGCTTGTGAGGAAGTTCCCAAAGAGAGCGGATGTAAATTGAAGGGCAGTGAGATAACATTAAAAAAAAAAAAAAGAAAATATTGTGTACAGGCATAGGGATGTGGTGGGTAGGGTTCTCAAAGCTTCATGAGATATTGATAGGGACACAAGGTGTGTCCTTCCCCTTAGAGACTTGCTGTGTGCAGTGCCCTGCCCAGTCACGAGCTGTTCACTTAGACTCCCTGTTAATGGCCTGCCTATGTAGAGTAAGGCTCACAGTAAGATTGTTTGTGGTGGCTTCTGGGCCAGTGATGTGAATGGGGTTGTGGGTGGCCCTGAACTGCCTTCCTTGCTGTCATAATGACCCCAGTGTCATCTGTGCCTCTAGCATCCTTGGGAAGATGTCAGCGGTCCTCTCCTCGCAATGTGAACACAAAGAGTTTACAGAGGGTAAGATGATACCTATGAGGAGAAGAGAGAAATATGAGATGCTTTTCTCTCTGCACCCTCATGTATCTCATGTTAACATAGAGGGGTGTGGAGGGGATATCCACTGAGGGGGGGATGCAAGTTACAAAAAGTGGGTGAATATTTGCTCAGATTCTGGATATTTTTTTCATGAAGCCTTCAGGATGTGGAAACAAGAGACATGAAACCTACTTGGAAGCATATAGAATGAACTGTACTGTGCTTATACATTAAAGACGTCCTGCGTGCAGAGTCCTCCTTTCCAGGCAGGTACTGTTCACTTTGACAATGTACAAGCAGTGACTGTGTGGGTGAGTAAGAGTCTCCAGGAATGTTGGTGTTTTGTTATTAGTGTAGGATTCAGTTTAAGAGTGGAGTTCAAAGTGTCCTTAACTGCACACTAGTCATGTTCTTAGAACACCCTTGAAGCACCTGACTCTCTGAAATCTTCAGTATAACTTATGAGTTCCATTTATATTTGTAATTATTTTTATTGAAGGATAATTGCTTTACAGATTTTGTTTTCTGTCAAGCCTCAACATGAGTCAGCCATAGATATACATATATTCCCTCACTTTTGAAACTGCCTCCCATCTCCCCCACCGTCCCACCCCTCTAGATTGATACAGAGCCCCTGTTTGCGTTTCCTAAGCCATAGAGCAAATTGCTGTTGGCTCTCTATTTTATATATGGTAATGTAAGTTTCCATGTTACTCTTTCCATACATCTCACCCTTTCCTCCCCTCTCCCCAAGTCCATAAGTCTATTTTCTATGTCTGTTTCTCCATTGCTGCCCTGAAAATAAATTCTTCAGTACCATTTTTCTAGATTCGAATATATGTGTTGCAATATGGTATTTATCTTTCTCTTTAACTCTTCACTCTGAATAATAGGTTCTAGGTTCATCCACCTCATCAGAACTGACTACAACGTGTTCCTTTTTATGGCTGAGTAATATTCCATTGTGTATATTCTTTATCCATTCAGCTGTCAATGGACAGCTAGGTTGCTTCTATGTTCTAGCTACTGTAAATAGTGCTGCAACGAACAATGGGATACATTTGTTCTTTTCAATTTTGGTTTCCTCAGGGTATATGTCTAGGAGTGGGATTGCTGGGTCATATGGTGGTTTTATTTCTATTTTTTAAGGAATCTCCATACTGTCTTCAATAGTAGCTGTATCAATTTACATTCCCAGCAACAGTGCAAGAGTGTTCCCTTTTCTCCACACCCTCTCCAGCATTTATTGTTGGTAGACTTTTGGATGATGGCCATTCTGACCGATGTGAGGTGATATCTCATTGTTGTTTTGATTTGCATTTCTCTAATAATGAGCAATATTGGGTATCTTTTCATATGTTTGTTAACCATCTGTGTGTCTTCTTTGGAGAAATGTCTGTATAGGTCTTTTTCCCACTTTTTGACTTGGTTGTTTCTTTTTCTGGTATTGAGTTGTATGAGCTGCTTATATATTTTGGAAATTAATCTTCTGTCAATTGTTTCATTTGCTATTATTTTCTCCCATTCTGAGGGTTGTCTTTTCACCTCACTTACAGTTTCCTTTGCTGTGAAAAAGCTTTTCAGTTCAGGTGCCATTTGTTTACTTTTGTTTTTATTTCCATTACTCTAGGAGGTGGCTTCTAGAGGATCTTGCTTTGATCTATGCCATTGAGTGTTATGCCTTTGTTTTCCTCTAAGAGTTTTATAGTTTCTGGTCTGACATTTAGGTCCTTAATCCATTTTGAGTTTATCTTTGTGTATGGTGTTAGGAAGTGTTCTAATTTCATTCTTTTACATGTATCTGTCCAGGTTTCCCAGCACCATTTATTGAAGAGGCTGTCTTTACCCCATTGTATATTCTTGTCTCCTTTGTCAAAAATAAGGTACCATAGATGCATGGGTTTATTTCTGGACTTTCTATCTTGTTCCATTGGTCTATATTTCTGTTTTTGTGCCAGTACCATACTGTCTTTGTAGTATAATCTGAAGTTAGGAAGGTTGATTCCTCCAACTTCATTCTTCTCTCTCAAGACTGCTTTGGCTTTTCAGGGTCTTTTGTGTTTCCATATGAATTGTGAATTTTTTTTGTTCTAGTTCTGTGAAAAATGCCATTGGTAATTTGATAGGGATCACACAATCTGTAAATTGCATTTGGTAGTATAGTCATTTTCACAATATTAATTCTTCCTCCCCAGGAACGTGGAATATCTCTCCATCCATTTATGTCATCTTTGATTTCTTTCGTTAGTGTCTTATAATTTTCTCTGTACAGTTCTTTTGTCTCCTTAAGTATGTTTATTCCTAGATATTTAATTCTTTTTGTTGCAATGGTGAATGGGATTGATTCCTTAATTGCTCTTTCTGATTTTTCATTGTTAGTATATAGAAGTGCAGTGATTTCTGTGTATTGATTTTGCATACTGCAACTTTTCTAAATTCACTGAATAGTTCTAGTAATTTTCTGATATCATTAGGGTTTTCTATGTACAGTATCATGTCATCTGCAAACAGAGCTTTACTGGTCTGAATTCCTTTTATTTCTTTTTCTTCTCTGATTGCTGTAGCTAGGATGTCCAGAATGATGTTGAATAATAGCGGTGAAAGTGGATACCCTTGTCTTGTTCCTGATCTTAGAGAAAATGCTTTCATTTTTTCAACATTGAGAATAATGTTTGATATAGGTTTATCATATATGGCCTTTACTGTGTTGAGGTAGGTTCCTTCTATGCCCATTTTTTTGAAGAGTTTTAATCAAAAATTGGTGCTGGATTTTGTCAATGGCCTTTTCTGAATCTATTGAGATGATCATTTGGTTTTTATGTTTCAATTTGTTAATATAGTGAATCACATTGATTCATTTGAGTGTATTGAAGAATCCTTGCATTCCTGGAATACACCCAACTTAATCATGGTGTATGAGATTTTTATTGTGTTGTTGAATTGTTTGCTAAAATTTTGCTGGGGCTTTTTGCATCTATGTTCATCAGTGATATTGGCCTATAGTTTTCTTTTTTGTGTGTTGTCTTTGTCTGGGTATCAGGGTGATGGTGGCCTTATAGAAGGGTTTGGAACTGTTCCTTCCTCTGCAATTTTTTGACAGAGTTTTAGAAGGATAGGCATTAGCACTTCTCTAAATGTTTAATAGAATTCTCTTGTGAAGCCATCTGGTCCTGGGTTTTTGTTTTTTCGGAGATTTTTGATCACATCTTCATTTCAGTGTTTTTAATTGGTTTGTTCATAATTTCTATTTATTCCTGGTTCATTCTTGGAAGGTTTAACTTTTCTAAGAATCTGTCCATTTCTTCCAAGTTATCCATTTTATTGCCATATAGTTGTTCATAATAGTCTCTTAAAATCCTTTGTATTTCTGCATTGTCTCTTGTAACCTCTCCTTTTGCATTTCTAATTTTGTTGATTTGATTCTTCCCTCTTTTTTCCTTGATGAGTCTGACTAAAGGCTTGTCAATTTTGTTTATTTTCTCCAAGAATCAACTTTTAGTTTTATTCATCTTTGCTATTGTTTCTTTCATTTCTTTTTCATTTATTTCTGCTCAGATCTTTAAGATTTCTTTCCTTCCACTAATTTTGGTGTTTTTTGTTCTTCCTTTTCCAGTTGTTTTAGGTGTAAAGTTGTCTATTCAATGTTTTTCTTGCTTCTTGAGGTAGGATTGTATTGCTATAAAGTTCCCTCTTAGAACTGTGCTGCATCCCATAGCTTTTGAGTTATCATGTTTTCATTGTCATTTCTTTCTAGAAATTTTTTTATTTCCCTTTTGATTTCTTCAGTAACCTGTTGGTTATTTAGAAACATGTTGTTTAATCTCCATGCATTTGTGTTTCTTACATTTTTTTTTCTTGTAATTGATGCCTAGTCTCATAGCATTGTGGTCGGAGAAGATGCCTGTACGATTTCAACTTTCTTAAATTTGCTGAGGTTTGATTTGTGACACAAGATGTGGTCTATCCTGGAGAATGTTCCACATGCACTTGAAAAGAAGGTGTATTCTTATGCATTTGGATGGAATGTCCTGAAGATATCAATGAGATTCATCTCATCTAATGTATCATTTAAGACTTGTGTTTCCTTTTTAATTTTCTGTTTTAACGATCTGTCCATTGGTGTGAGTGGGGGGTGTTAAAGTCTCCTACTATTTACTGTCAGTTTCTCCTTTTATGTCTGTTAGTGTTTGTCTTATGTATTGAGGTGCTCCTATGTTGAGTGTATAGATATTTACAATTGTTATGTCTTCCTCTTGGATTGATCCCTTGATCATTATGTAGTGTCCTTTTTTTCTTGTAATCTTCTTTATTTTAAGGTCTATTTTGTCTGATATGAGGATTACTACTCCAGCTTTCTTTTGCTTCCTATTTGCATGGAATATATTTTTCCATTCTGTCACTTTCAGTATATATGTGTCTTTAGGTCTGAAGTGGGTTTCTTGTAGACAGTATATATATGGGTCTTGTTTTGTATCCATTCAGCCAGTCTGTGTCTTTTGGTTGGAGTATATAATCTATTTACATTTAAAGTACTTATTGATATATATGTTCTATTGCCATTTTCTTAATTGTATGGTGTTGATTTTGTAGATCTTTTTTCTTCTCTTGTATTTCTTGACTATATAAGTCCATTTAACATTTGTTGTAAAGCTGGTTTGGTGGTACTGAGCTCTCTTAACTTTTGCTTGTTTAAAAAGCTTTTTATTTCTCCATCAATTTTGAATGAGATCCTTGCTGGGTACTGTAATCTTGGTTATAGATTTTCCCCTTTCAGTACTTTAAATATGTCCTGCCATTTCCTTCTGGCTTGCAGAGTTTCTGCTGAAAGATCAGTTGTTAAGCATATGGAGTTTTCCTTGTATGTTACTTGTTGCTTCTCCTTTGCTGCTTTTAATATTCTTTCTTTGTGTTTAGTCTTTGTTAGTTTGGTTAGTGTGTGTCTTGGCATGTTTCTCCTTGGGTTTATCCTTTGTGCGAATCTTTGTGCCTCTCGAACTTGACTATCTCCTTTCCTATGTTGGAGAAATTTTCAATTATACTCTCTTCAAAAATTTTCTCATATCCTTTCTTTTTCTCTTCTTCTTCTGGGACCCGTATAATTTGAATGTTGGTGCATTTGATATTTGTCCCAGGGTATCTGTGACTATCCTTAGTCCTTTTCTTTCTTTTTATTTTATTCTGCTCTTCAGAAGTTATTTCCACCATTTTATCTTCCAGCTCACTGATTCGTTCTTCTGCTTCAGATATTCTGCTACTAATT